AAAGCACTTCCCGAGAGCATCGGCAATTTGAATCCATTTGTGCAGTTGAGATTGTATGGATGTGGATCCTTGAAGGCACTTCCAGAGAGCATCGGCAATTTGAACTCTCTTGTGAAGTTGAATTTGAGAGATTGTCAATCCTTGGAGGCACTTCCAGAGAGCATCGACAATTTGAACTCTCTTGTGGACTTGGATTTGTATACATGTGGATCCTTGAAGGCACTTCCAGAGAGCATCGGCAATTTGAACTCTCTTGTGAAGTTGAATTTGTATGCCATGTGGATCCTTGAAGGGCACTTCCAGAGAGCATCGGCAATTTGAACTCTCTTGTGAAGTTGAATTTTGTATGGATGTGGATCCTTGAAGGCACTTCCAGAGAGCATCGGCAATTTGAACTCTCTTGTGGACTTGGATTTGAGTAAATGTGGATCCTTGAAGGCACTTCCAGAGAGCATCGGCAATTTGAACTCTCTTGTGAAGTTGAATTTGTATGGATGTCGATCCTTGGAGGCACTTCAAGAGAGTATCGGCAATTTGAATTCTCTTGTGGAGTTGAATTTGTCTGCATGTGTATCCTTGAAGGCACTTCCAGATAGCATCGGCAATTTGAACTCTCTTGTGGACTTCGATTTGTATACATGTGGATCCTTGAATGCACTTCCAAAGAGCATCGATAATTTGAACTCTCTTGTGAAGTTGAATTTGGGAGATTGTCAATCCTTGGAGGCACTTCCAAAGAGCATCGACAATTTGAACTCTCTTGTGGACTTGGATTTGTTTAGATGTGGATCCTTGAAGGCACTTCCCGAGAGCATCGGCAATTTGAACTCTCTTGTGAAGTTGAATTTGAGAGATTGTCAATCCTTGGAGGCACTTCCAGAGAGCATCGACAATTTGAACTCTCTTGTGGACTTGGATTTGTATACATGTCGATCCTTGAAGGCACTTCCAGAGAGCATCGGCAATTTGAACTCTCTTGTGAAGTTGAATTTGTATGGATGTAGATCCTTGAAGGCACTTCTAGAGAGCATCGGCAATTTGAACTCTCTTGTGAAGTTGAATTTGTATGGATGTGGATCCTTGAAGGCACTTCCAGAGAGCATCGGCAATTTGAACTCTCTTGTGGACTTGGATTTGAATATATGTAGATCCTTGAAGGCACTTCCAAAGAGCATCGGCAATTTGAACTCTCTTGTGAAGTTGAATTTGGGAGTCTGTCAAACCTTGGAGGCACTTCCAGAGAGCATCGGCAATTTGAACTCTCTTGTGAAGTTGGATTTGAGAGTTTGTAAATCCTTGAAGGCACTTCCAGAGAGCATTGGCAATTTGAACTCTCTTGTGAAGTTGAATTTGTATGGATGTCAATCCTTGGAGGCACTTCAAGAGAGTATCGGCAATTTGAATTCTCTTGTGGACTTGAATTTGTATGGATGTGTATCCTTGAAGGCACTTCCAGAGAGCATTGGCAATTTGAACTCTCTTGTGGACTTGGATTTGTATACATGTGGATCCTTGAAGGCACTTCCAGAAAGCATCGGCAATTTGAACTCTCTTGTGAAGTTCAATTTGGGAGTTTGTCAATCTTTGGAGGCACTTCCAAAGAGCATCGGCAATTTGAACTCTCTTGTGAAGTTGGATTTGAGAGTTTGTAAATCCTTGAAGGCACTTCCAGAGAGCATTGGCAATTTGAACTCTCTTGTGAAGTTGAATTTGTATGGATGTCGATCCTTGGAGGCACTTCCAGAGAGTATCGGCAATTTGAATTCTCTTGTGGACTTGAATTTGTATGGATGTGTATCCTTGAAGGCACTTCCAGAGAGCATTGGGAATTTGAACTCTCTTCTGGACTTGTATTTGTATACATGTGGATCCTTGAAGGCACTTCCAAAAAGCATCGGCAATTTGAACTCTCTTGTGAAGTTCAATTTGGGAGATTGTCAATCCTTGGAGGCACTTCCAAAGAGCATCGACAATTTCAACTCTCTTGTGGACTTGGATTTGTTTAGATGTCGATCCTTGAAGGCACTTCCAGAGAGCATCGGCAATTTGAATTCATTTGTGCAGTTGAGATTGTATGGATGTGGATCCTTGAAGGCACTTCCAGAGAGCATCGGCAATTTGAACTCTCTTGTGAAGTTGAATTTGAGAGATTGTCAATCCTAAGAGGCACTTCCAGAGAGCATCGACAATTTGAACTCTCTTGTGGACTTGGATTTGTATACATGTCGACCCTTGAAGGCACTTCCAGAGAGCATCGGCAATTTGAACTCTCTTGTGAAGTTGAATTTGTATGGATGTCGATCCTTGGAGGCACTTCAAGAGAGTATCGGTAATTTGAATTCTCTTGTGGAGTTGAATTTGTCTGCATGTGTATCCTTGAAGGCACTTCCAGATAGCATCGGCAATTTGAACTCTCTTGTGGACTTCGATTTGTATACATGTGGATCCTTGAAGGCACTTCCAAAGAGCATCGGCAATTTGAACTCTCTTGTGAAGTTGAATTTGGGAGATTGTCAATCCTTGGAGGCACTTCCAAAGAGCATCGACAATTTCAACTCTCTTGTGGACTTGGATTTGTTTAGATGTCGATCCTTGAAGGCACTTCCAGAGAGCATCGGCAATTTGAATTCACTTGTGCAGTTGAAATTGTATGGATGTGGATCCTTGAAGGCACTTCCAGAGAGCATCGGCAATTTGAACTCTCTTGTGAAGTTGAATTTGAGAGATTGTCAATCCTTGGAGGCACTTCCAGAGAGCATCGACAATTTGACTCTCTTGTGTACTTGGATTTGCATACATGTCGATCTTTGAAGGCACTTCCAGAGAGCATAGGCAATTTGAACTCTCTTGTGGACTTGGATTTGTATACATGTCGATCCTTGAAGGCACTTCCAGAGAGCATAGGCAATTTGAACTCTCTTGTGAAGTTGAATTTGTATGGATGTCGATCCTTGGAGGCACTTCCAGAGAGTATCGGCAATTTGAATTCTCTTGTGGACTTAAATTTGTATGGATGTGTATCCTTGAAGGCTCTTCCAGAGAGCATTGGCAATTTGAACTCTCTTGTGGAATTGGATTTGTATACATGTGGATCCTTAAAGGCACTTCCAGAAAGCATCGGCAATTTGAACTCTCTTGTGAAGTTGAATTTGGGAGATTGTCAATCCTTGGAGGCACTTCCAAAGAGCATCGAAAATTTGAACTCTCTTGTGGACTTGGATTTGTTTAGATGTCGATCCTTGCAGGCACTTCCAGAGAGCATCGGTAATTTGAACTCTCTTGTGGACTTGGATTTGTATACATGTCGATCCTTGAAGGCACTTCCAGAGAGCATAGGCAATTTGAACTCTCATGTGAAGTTGAATTTGTATGGATGTCGATCCTTGGAGGCACTTCAAGAGAGTATCAGCAATTTGAACTCTCTTGTGGAGTTGAATTTGTCTGCATGTGTATCCTTGAAGGCACTTCCAGATAGCATCGGCAATTTGAACTCTCTTGTGGACTTCGATTTGTATACATGTGGATCCTTGAAGGCACTTCCAGAGAGCATCGACAATTTGAACTCTCTTGTGAAGTTGAATTTGGGAGAATGTCAATCCTTGGACGCACTTCCAAAGAGCATCGACAATTTGAACTCTCTTGTGCACTTGGAATGGTTTAGATGTCGATCCTTGAAGGCACTTCCAGAGAGTATTGGCAATTTGAACTCTCTTGTGAAGTTGAATTTGTATGGATGTCGATCCTTGGAGGCACTTCCAGAGAGTATCGGCAATTTGAATTCTCTTGTGGACCTGGATTTGTATACATGTCGATCCTTGAAGGCACTTCCAGAGAGCATCGGCAATTTGAACTCTCTTGTGAAGTTGAATTTGTATGGATGTGGATCCTTGAAGGCACTTCCAGAGAGCATTGGCAATTTGAACTCTCTTGTGGACTTCGATTTGTATACATGTGGATCCTTGAAGGCACTTCTAGAAAGCATCGGCAATTTGAACTCTCTTGTGAAGTTGAATTTGGGAGATAGTCAATCCTTGAAGGCACTTCCAAAGAGCATCGGC